TTTATTTCCATACACAAAGAATTTAGAATTTACATTCTCACACATTAATGGCATATAATGGTCTGTTCCTGGCTTTCCACTCCACCAAATACATCTGAGGAAATAGAAAATTTAAGTAAAAGTAAAAATTGCTTTTCACTCTATTGATATTGCTTCTCAGGTGAAAGAACTTCTTGAGCTACCTTTCCTTCATGGAAGAGACTTGGTTGCTATTGAAGGCCTCCACTAATTTCTTCTTCCTGGTATGTGTGTTTGCCTTCAAGTATCAATAATAACACAATGTCTTTGTTTTACAGGGCATCACAGCAGAGCAACGTAGGAACATCTTTGCCCTGAGATGGAAGCAGGAGGCTTCATTCATGTAAAAAAGATGGATGAGCTAGACTTAGCTGGTCCTGAAGGAGGAAGAGTCCCTGATGGCCTCATTGTTGAGAGCAGTGGGAAATTCTGGGAAAGGACAGCCCAGAAAAGGTTCCTGGATGAAGACCTTGCCAGTTCAGACATACAGTGCCAGCACTTCAGGTGGTTCTCCTATGAGGAGGGTGGAGGGCCCCGAGAAGCTTGCAGCCGACTTCACCATCTCTGCTGTAAGTGGCTGAAGCCAGAGCGCCACACAAAAACTGAGATCCTGGACTTGGTAATCTTGGAACAGTTCCTGACCATCCTGCCCCTGGAGATGGAGAAGTGGGTCAGGGAATGTGGGGCAGAGACCTGTTCCCAGGCGGTGGCCCTGGCAGAGGGTTTCCTCCTGAGTCAGGCAGAGGCAGCGAAGGAGCCAGACGTGCAGCAGGTGAGTGTTTCCTCCAGCTGTAAAGATGAGCAGGTGATGGTTCTGGGGCTTCCTGTTTTGAGACCTCTAATGACTGAAAGGGACAAAGGCCCCCTGAATAAGTAGTGCTGATATATTGTTCTCCCATATTTGGCTTAGATAGGAAGAGCATGGAGAAAATCCACATTGTGATGAAGTGAAATCACTGTCTCCAAAGCCTCATAGAAGCATGGTTCTGCTTTAAAATCAGGTGTTTCATCCATGTGTGCCATTTTTTCAAAGGAAGTGCCAGGTTTTCCTGCTGGCACTGCCACACAACTAGACTTTCCTCCATGGTGACTGCAATGGCAAAATATGACCCTGATGTGTCTAGGAGGGCAATGGGCTTCCACCCATTGCAGCAAATAGCCCAGTCTCTAAGGAGGTGAACACTTTTTGTCATTGTTGAGATTTTTATTTTCATTTCATTTTTATTTCAAAGCTGACAGAATAAATTAGAAACAACAGTGTTGTGGCCACTGTCAGGAAAGTACAACTAGACAGTACCAGTAGGCTTTAATTTTCATTTCTCCATATGTCTCACAGTTCTTCTTTATACACAGTTGTCCTGCTGTTTTTGCAGACTTGAAGTATGCGACCCTCACTTATCCATGAGGGATGAATAGAAAGGCACACAATGAGGTGTGCGCCTGCAGTGCACATCTGCTCACCCCCATGGACAAGCACCTCCATTCAAGCCAATAGGGCTTGAATATTTGTGTTTTTCCTTTTTTGCAGGAGGGTCTGGAACAGATCCCCTGTGAAAAAGGAGAGGTGACTGTACATTTGCACGTGCGCATGCATCCACATACACACACACACACACACGAATATATATATTCAGTGAAAAGACTTTCATTATAAGTCAGAGCAGGGTGTTCCAGAACTTTAAATGTTCTTGCTGTGGACTCCATGGAATTGTTTGCTTTCCAGCATATCCAATAAACATATACCAAATGTTAACACAAGTGTTATACTGTATTTCCCTTCACTGAGCTCTTTAATTTGTACATCCCCTTTTCAAGTAGGGCTAGAGCTGCTGACTTTTTCCTCACTTCATTGCAAGTGGATGTCTCATACCACACAATTCCAGACCCCTTTCTCCAAAGCCATTTACTAGTTTCTCTTCCTTCTCCAAATTCCATGTCTTTGAATTCTCACTGCTGTTTCAGGTCAATAATCTCTTGGACAAAATTCATTCTCAATTCCCTGTGGCAGAGAAGGCTCCATTGGACATGAGGCAGAGTCCCCTATGGAGGGAGATCCAGCAGAATTGTGATGGAGGGACCCCCTTGCAAGGTAAGGATGAACACCTATACAGAATTCAATGGGTCCCTTCATTATTGTTGTTGTTATTGCTATTTTGCCTTCATGTGGGTTTGCCCTTTTCTTCCTCTTAGGCTGAGATAGTGTGACTTGCCCAAGGTCACCCAGTGGGTTTCCATGGCCAAGTGGGAATTTGAACCCTTGTCTCCAAAGTTGTAGTCCAGTGCTTGAACCACTATGCCACGCTGACTCTAATTTCCCCATTGGAAGTCATTGGACATATGGATCTGATGTGGAACATACATATTCAGTTCAAGATTATGGAAATGGAGTTGCACATGCAGAATCAACTGGTCTGGCAGATGTACCTGTATGTGTGCAGTTTTTACCTCAGGAAGTACTTTTGTATGCTTTTCTTATTACTTTGGTCGTTTCTTACTTCACCTCAAACTTCTACCTTAGAAATCACCTTATTGAGTTCAGAGTTTCTGTCAGTTTGTGGATTTTCATTGTGTTTCTTTGCTAATTCCCTACTTTACCTCAGCTTTTAACCTCAGGGACCACACTATCCTCAAAACCTTTACAGACATCATATGAACAGACAGAGACAAGTTGAAAAAAAACAAAAACAAAATGGAAGATTATAATAGCAATAACTGGAACTCCTAAGTCATTAATAGCTCCTCAGTGTCATAGTCAAAGCTTGACTGTCCTGTCTGTGTATCATTTATTCCTCTCCTGCTGCAGACTTTTCCCTATCTCTAGGTCATCTTTCTCCTATCACTAGGCTATCTTTTCCCTATTTCTCTGTAATCTTTTTTTCTAATTTCCTTCTGACAAACACAATCCATGGTTTTGTAAAATTTCTTCCCTGTATACTGCCTTTCACAGCATTTATTGAACTGTGATTGGCTGACTCCAACCAGGCTTGCCCAGCTCCTCCCTTCATAGCTAGTCACACTCTCTCAGCCTCAGAGGATGGCAAGGGCAACTCTCCTGGCAACAAATATTGACAGGAAAACCTTATGATAGGCTCACTTTAGAGTCACCAGAAGTCAGAAATGACTTGAAGGCCACCAAGAGAAAGAGAGAGTTTAATATGATTAAACCTTCCAAAGATATAAATGAAGTTGTAGGGTGGTGAATATGTTCATGGAGTTTTTCTTGGCCTTGTTTGTTCAGAAGGGTTTTGCCATTTCCTTTCTTTGAGGCTGAGAAAGTGTGACTTGCCCAAGGTCACCCAGTGGATTCCTATGGCTAAGCAAGGATTCAGACCTTAGTCTCCCATGGTCCTCAGTCCAACATTCAAACCATGTTGACTATAGATTTTATTGGTTTGTGTTAGTTTGTGTTATTGTCTTCTAGGTTGCTCTGTGGAAGGAGTGAGTCATTGTTGCCTAATGTGATTGCAGTCCCACTGCACATGCTGCTCTCCATTCAGTTGTAGATTTAGTGCCAAATGTTGCCATTTATAGAATCATAGACTTGGAAGAGGCCCCAAGGGCCATCAAGTCCAACCCCATTCTGCCATGCAGGAACTCACAATCAAAGCATCCCTGAGAGATGGCCATCCAGCCTCTGTTTAAAAACCTCCAAAGAAGGAGACTCCACTGGTCTATGAGAGAGTGTGTTCCATTATCAAACATCTCTTACTGTCAGGAAATTCTTCTTAATGTTGAGGTGGAATCTTTTTTCCTCTACTTTGCATCCATTGTTCCGTGTCCTGTTCTCTGGAGCAGCAGAAAACAAGCTTGCTCCATTCTCAGTATGACATCCCTTCAAATACTTAAACAGGGCTATCATATCACCTCTTAACCGCCTCTTCTCCAGGTTAAACATATCCAGCTCCCTAAGTCTCTCCTCATAGGGCATGGTTTCCAGATCCAAGCATTGCATAGCATGGATAAGGCTGATCTCCACATGCAGATATTGACTTTATGCATTCCTCTCTGTGTTTCTACTCATACCTTGCTTTGGCGGTCTGGGTCTCAAATCCCTTATTACTTCCCCCTGTCTCCTTTGTTTGCACAATAGCCATCCTGTGAGGTAGGTCAGGCTCAGAGAGAGCAAGTGGCCCAAGGTTGCACAGTGGTTTTTAGCACTCTGTAAAGGCCAGAACTGGATTTTGCCAAGCTCTAGTCCAACATCTGAACCACTGCATCCAAGTTCCCTCTGCATTTTCCTGGGCTGGAAGTGTGATTGTGTTCTGAGACTTCCAATAGAAAACAGGTGTACCTCAGCTAACAAACTCAGTGTGTTCCTAGGTATTTCTTCTTCAACAGAAAATTTGGTACCAGAGGTAGAAATCACATGGGAAAAATAGGGATGGGTTCCTGAACCACAGAAAAAGAATAGCAGGTCAGCATGATTCAGCACACTTTTTATCCAGAAGTAACAATATGCACATGTGAAGTGAAACCACGAGGTCAGTGAAGCCTTGCAGAAGTCCACAAAAATGTTTGGAACCTTCTAGAATCCATCTGAAGGCTTCTTCCCAAATGCATTGAGGGATGAACTTTTCTTTCACCCGCCCCTCCTTTTCTGATGGTTTCCATTTTGGTGGGCAAATGCAAAGATCTATGCTTTTTCGAAAATGCTAGGGATAGATGTTGAGGAAGCCTTGTCTGCACTTTCCTTTTCTTTCTGCTTAGCTGTTTGTTCATGCTCAGTAAGGGATGCATGGTTAGTAAGGCAGCTCCTGTTTCCTTTGTGTGTTGCAGGCAGGCACACACAGCTACAGTAGGATCATCTAGAGTAGAATCCCGTTTTTTTCTCAGCTCAAGCTTTATTGCAGTTTATTTCAGACATATTGCTGCAAACACTGAAAATTCTGTCTTTCTCCAGCCCTCTTTCACTCTCCTTCCAATGCATATGCTGCTAAAAGAGTTTCAGAAATATAGAGGATGAAGAGGAAATACAGGCAGAGTGGGCATAAAATGACTTTGAAAAAAGGAGCATCTTTGTCAGTGGCTTTGTTAATTCTGCTGGGATTGTACTTCCTGGCATGTATTTGTTTAAGATTGTAGCTGACAAAAGAGTATGTGACCAACTTCTCCCTACCTTGTTCTCTTCCACAGAGGCTGGAATGAAGCCACCAACAAGGACCCAGGCATCTCTTCCTCCTCTTTGGGATCGACCAGAACCAGATCAGGTAAAGAGAAGGATTCCTAGAACAAGAGGCCTAGAGTAGTCTGGGTCCCTCTTTCCCCAGATCAAATTCCTCTCAGTGCTAGGGAAGTACTTGTTTCCATTTCCTTTGGATTTTTGCAAATTGTAAAAAGAAAAAATTGACAAATTTTTCATTTTTCTAATGGAGAGAAGTTGAGAGTTGAACAACGTGAATGTAAGAGAAATCCAGACAGATTTTATCCGTCCTGGCCCTGAGATGTGAGGGCTTCCCTTCAAAATCTCTAGGTGTGAATCCCTGTTTCTTCAGCCTTGTTCTTCCTGAATTAGAGTTGCTTGCCTTTTTCTCTGACATCTTTTTCTTGAACACAGAAGGAGAGCTAATAGAAATTCCCTTCCTTCTTCCTTGGTCCAGAACAAATCTCTCTCCCTCTTTATTCAGCCACTGGCATTCAGAGGGAGGCTGTTGTGGCTTCTGGGGCTGCCATGTAATCAGCAGAAGCATGGGTAATGTTGGCTACTACAAGGAAGACAGCCAATGCCACTAAGGAATGTTTAAGACAGGGATGGACAGATTTTGGCTAGTGGTTTGCATGTGGTCTTTGAAACCACAAAGTGTAGCCTTGGATGCTCCACAAAACTATTGGAGCCATTTTTAAAATTGTTTTTAATGCCAATTTTCAGGCATTATTTTACCCAAAATAGTAAGAGCTTCATTGGACACATGTGAAAACTGGCCCTGTGTATATCTGGTGTCTCATTGAATGAAGATGTACTAAAACCTTGGGCCATTTATGATTTATGTCTTATGGACCTTCCATATTGCTGTTTATAGGTTTAGGCCATGTAGTTTTAAATTGAAAATAAAATTTATAAATTTATTACATACATACATTCCCTCCCTCACATGCACCATTTATATTCTCTCTTTTCAAATTGGCTTAAAATGGTCCAGAATTCAGCTGTTTACTCCCCTTTACCTTTCCAGCACTCCAAACCAGGACATGAATGGCTAAGCAACATCAATCTGTGATCAAGATGGCAAAAGTTATATCTGAGGAAGTATACATAAACTAAGTGAGGTTGCAGCAGTTGACTTTTGCCAGAGGGCATAATTTTGCCCCCTTATCCCCTTTCCCCTTTGCTGAGTTGTTGTTGTTGTTGTTGTTGTTGTTGTGGTTGTTGTTGTTTTATGCATTCAAGTTGCTTCAAATGTATGTTAAAAAAATCACAGGGTTTCCTTGACAAGATTTGTTGGGGAAAGCAAAGCAAAGCAAAGCAGCTTCATTTATATACCGCTTCATATCGCACTATGGGATGTCTAAGCGGTTTACAGCTGTAAGTTCATTGCCCCCCAACAGTTGGGTACTCATTTTAGCGACCTTGGAAGGATGCAGGCCTGAGTCTAGCCTGAGCCCTGGCTAGTATTGAACTCACAACCTAGTGGTCTGTGAGTGAGTGGCTGCAGTACAGGCATTTAACCACTGTGCCACCAGGGCTCCTTTTTCTTGGGGAAGGAAGTTGCCCTTACATTTCTCTGATGCTAAGAGGGTGTGACTTGCCCAAGGTCACTCAATGGGTTTCCATGGCTGGGTGGGGCTTGGTCTCCAGAGTTGTAGTCCAACACTGAAACTACTACACCATGCTAATGGAGTAGAAATTCCTTTTGCAGATTGAATGCAGTCTACACCAACTGGCGTAAGATGAAAACTGAAAACAATGGGGGAAAGTGGGAGGGGTATTAAGAACCTGGGACATTTTAGAAGCCCCTGAAAAAGTGGGACAAAAGAGGATTAATTGGCATTTCCCCTGTGAAATCCCTGTAAACAGATGCGGTGATTTAGTGGTTAAGATGCCAGTTCTGACGAATGGAAGATTGTAAAGTTGGCAGTTTGAGGACCATGTGCCACACACTGGGATGAGCTAGTCCCAGCTTCTGCCAACCTAGCCGTTCGAAAGTATGCAAATACAAGTAGATAAATAGGTAACACTTTGGTGGGAAGGTAACAGCATTTGGTGCAGTCATGCTGGCCACATGACCACCAGAATAGTCTCTGACAATGCTGGCTCTTTGGCTTAGTAATGGAGATGAGCACCGCCCCCTACAGTTGGTTATGATTAGAC